GGGGTTTCACCATGTTGACCAGGATGATCTCGATCTCTTGACCTCGTGATCCACCCGCCTCGGCCTCCCAAAGTGCTGGGATTACAGGCTTGAGCCACCGCGCCCGGCCTCTTTTTAAGAGATGAGGTCTTAGCTGGGCAAGGTGGCTCATGCCTGTAATCCCAGCACTTTGGGAAGTCAAGGCAGGCGGATCATCTGAGATCAGGAGTTTGAGACCAGCCTAGCCAACGTGGTGAAACCCTGTCTCTACAAAAAATACAAAAAATTAGCTAGGTGTGGTGGCGAGCCCCTGTAATCCCAGCCACTCAGGAGGCTGAGGCTGGAGAATTGCTTGAATCCAGGAGCAACAGAGTCAGACTCCATCTTAAAAAAAAAAAGTTTTGAAACTATGACACAGGTGCCCTCCCTACAATCTTCCCCAGTCCTCCTGGGTGTCAAGTAGCTGTGTGGCACCCAGGGAGACTCTGAAGGGCAAGGCTGTCTGAGTCCTCACTGTCTGAGGCCTGAAGTCACATCCTAGGTGTAGAGCTCAGAGGACCCAACCCCTCCCAGAAGAGCCAGGAGGCAAAGCTGGGAAAAGGGGACCACATGGGGCTTGATTCTGCCTAGGAGCTGTTGTTCTAGACACTGAGAACTTGTCCCCAGGCCTCGCCATGGCCACCTGTCCAGCCCCCTGATTCCAGAGGCTCAAAACCACAAACATAAGTAACAGCAAATCAACAAGTATTAAATTATATTTAACAATTTGCAGCCATTCCTATTGATGCAGGATGTTTTTCTCAGTCACTTTGCAAGCCAGGGTCCTCTGGCCAGCGACACCCCGCCTGGGCCTCACTTGACCATGCTACCTGCTGCAGAAGATGGCTTGCCAGCTCCACCTGAGTTCCCGAGTGCTTGTCCATGGCCAAGAAGAATGAGGAGGCTCTGAGAACCGAAGAGTGAGCAAGGCGGGGAGTCTGACTGGGTGATGAGACAGCTTCCAGTAGAGAGGGGACACAGGGCGGTCCCCTACAGGAAGGCAGGAAAGTTCCGGTGTGGCTGGGCCCAGGACCTTTAATGGACTCAGAACAGGGAGGGCGTGCTGACTGGTTTGTGAGTAATGCAAAACAGGTTAAAGTGAAGACAGCACTCAAAGGTGGGCATGCCGGTGTAGAAAACCAATTAGGAAAGGGTAGCTACATGTAAAATAGGTGAAGGCTGGGGATCAGTCAGAGGAAGGTGCGCCACACAGGAAGACAGGTTCTCAATCCGGTCGGAGGATTTCACTTGTAGGCTTTAAACCATCTTCCGCTTGGAGGTGGGGTTTCACAGGGGAATAGCCCCCGTCTGCCTGGGCATCTGTCTGCCTGCCTCGTGTCACTCTCATTATTTTACCAATGGGGACTAAACTCTGATCTTTTTCTCTCTTGCTCCAAGATCCTATCTAAAGGGCCTAGGGAGTCTGCCCTACAAACCATAGTACTTCATCAGATGGGTTTTATTTAACCCTATATAATGTGGCTTAGTTTCCAACCTGACTCTGGCACATCGCATGACAGACAAAGGAAATCAAAATATGTTACTCTTAAATATATTTCTTTGCCATCCTTTGGGTGCTTTCAGGTAATGGGTGGATTCAAAGATTTTCGGGTTGGCAATTGGTTGAATAAGTGATTACCTGAAGACCTGGAATCCACGGAAAGCCGTGTCTGGGTTTGAACACTTGGCCGCCCTTGGTGGGCTGGCTGGAACTGGGTGACTGGTACAGGAGCAGGTGACCGTCTGTTCATGCCTCCAGTGAGGGGACAGCTCACTTTGTAGGAGAAACCTTTAGGCCTTTAGACTTTAAAACAGGTTAAGTGGGCCGGGGTTGGGTGGCTCACGCCTGTAACCCCAGCACTTTGGGAGGCCAAATCAGGCGGATCCCCTGAGGTCAGGAGTTCAAGACCAGCCTGGCCAACATGGTGAAACCCCGTCTCTACTGGAAATACAGAAAGTAGCCTGGCGTTGTGGCGCCTGCCTGTGACCCGAGCGGGTCCTTCGGGCCAGGGCGGACCACGGGGGGAACCCCGGGCGGACCATGGGCGGAACCGCGGGGGGAACCACTGGCGGAACCTCGGGCGGAACCACAGGCGGGGCCCGGCCGGCGGCTTGGGCGGCCAGCGCGCACCACCGAGACGTGGACTCCTAGAGGGGCCGGAAGCTTCGGACAGCAACTTCCGCTCGGGAAGTTTGTGAAAGTCCGCGCTGCCGGCGCCGTTTGGCCGATGCTGCGGACGCCCCGCTGGGGAGTGTGGCCGTGCGGCCCGCCGCCGTGGGCCCCGGGTCCCGGGCGGGCGGACCTTCTCCGTGTGCGGCCGCCCCAGGGCTGTGAGACCCAGCGTCGCGGCTGCCGGTGCCCCGCCTAGTCTCCCGGCTCAGCCGCCTCCTCTCTCCCCGCCGCCTACACTGCAGGTTCGTCGGGACCCGGTGGCGTTTCCTCCCGAAGCTGGACCCCGGCTGACCGCGCCCACGGCCGTGACCTCAGCTGCCCCCAGACCGCTCCACACCTGCGCCCCCAGCCCGCACGCCCCGGTGAGACGCGCGCGCTTAGACTTCGGTCGGAGCACCCCGAGCTCCCCGGCCCCGGGCTGAGCTCCCGCAGCCTCCCCCGACCCACCGGTCCTCGCGGCGTCCCACCACGGAGGGCAGGAGCAGAAACCCGGGATGCACTTCCTCCTCCGTCCGCCCCGGCCGCGCACGGCCGGGCACTGGTGCGCTGGGCCCGTCACTGAACCGTTTGCCTCCTCGCCGTTCCCATCCTCCAGGCCCCGATCCTGGCCGCTTTCCTCCCTCGCCCGGACGCCTCCCTGTCTTCTCCCCACCCCCGTCCTTTTCTGCTGCTTTCTCCTTTGTTCATCACAGAGGCTCTTTTTAACAATGTAGCTCAGCCAGGCGCGGTGGCCCCCGCCCGGAATCCCAGCACTTTGGGAGGCCGAGGCAGGTGGATCACTTGAGTCCAGGAGTTCGAGACCAGCCTGGCCAACGCTGTGGAATCCTGTCTCTACTAAAAATACAAAAATTAGCTTGGCATGCTGGCACGTGCCTGAAACCCCAGCTACTCAGGAGGCTGAGGCAAGAGAATCGTTTGAACCCCAGAAGCAGAGGTTGCAAGGAGCAGAGATGAAGCCACTGCTCTCCAGCCAGGCTACAGAGCGAGACTCCATCTCATTAAAAAAAAAAAACAAAAATGTAGCTTAGCCCGGGTGCTGTGGCTGACATTTGTAACCCCAGCACTTTGGGAGGCTGAGGCCAGAGGATCTGTTCAGGCCAGGAGTTCGAGATCAGCCTGGGCAACATCGTGAGACCCTGTCTCTGCAAAAATTTAAACAATTGCAGAGCATGGTGGTGCATGCACCTTTGGTCCCAGCTACTAGGGAGACTGAGATGGGAGAATCACTTGAGCCCAGGAGGTCGAGGCTGCAGTGAGCTATGATTGCACTGCTGCACTCCAGCCTGGCTGACAGAGCAAGATGCTGTCTCAGAGAAAAAAAAAATCCTGTGTTAATTTGCCCAGGGGGAAAAAAAAGGTAGCTGATGACAATATCCTTCTGTTCTCCTCTATTAAAGTTGTGTCGTATAAAACTTCTGTTGCGTTGCACATGAAACCATGTCTCAGGTTTCATCTGGCCTTAGCCCCTTTCTGACCTATCTCATGGTTCTCTCCCCTTACTCGGCTTTCCAGACTGCAAAGCTCAGCCCAGGTTGTGGTGCAAACACAGCTGCTCAGCTGAGGGGAGCTGGGTTTTTTTGTTTGTTTTGAGACAGATTCTCGCTCTGTCGCAGTTTTTTTGTTTGTTTTGAGAGAGATTCTCGCTCTGTCGCCAGGCGCCTGGCTGGAATGCAGTGGCGCTATCTCGGCTTACTGCAACCTCCGCCTCCCTGGTTCAAGCAATTCTTCTGCCTCAGCCTCCCGCGTAACTGGGACTACAGGCACACGCCACCATGCCCAGTTAATTTTTGTATTTTTTAGTAGAGACGGGGTTTCACCATGTTGGCCAGGTTGGTTTCAATCTTTTGACCTTGTGATCCACCCGCCTCAGCCCCCCAACGTGCTGGGATTACAGGCATGAGCCCCCACGCCTAGCCTGTTTTTGTTTTCTGAGACAGTCTTGCGCTGTCACACAGGCTGGAGTGCAATGGTGCGATCTCGGCTCACTGCAGCCTCCGCCTCCCACGTTCAAGCGATTCTCCTGCCTCAGCCTCCTGAGTAGCTGGGACTACAGGCACACACCACCATGTCTGGCTAATTTTTTTATTTTTAGTAGCACAGGGTTTCACTGTGCTGGCCAGGATGGTCTCAATCTCTTGACCTCATCATCTGCCCGCCTCAGCCCCCTAAAGTGCTGGGATTACAGGCGTGAGCCACCGCGTCCAGCCGGGGGCTGTTTTCATCACTGCAGTCATTGCTACTTGCTAGAGGAAGTCAGAGTTTGATTCGAAAACGCCATCCATGACCCACGTGCTCAGTGTGCGTTTTCATGTGTTTATAGACCACTGTATAACTTTGAAGTGTCTGTTCTAATATTTTGCCGAGTTTAAGTTTTATTTTTTTATTTTTATTTTTTTTTATGATTTGGTGTCCTTAGAGACTGCCAAAATTTGCCAACGCCAACTATATTTCAGGTAGTCATGGCGGGGTATTGGGAAAAGTTTTCAATTAGCAATAATTGCTCCTCAGATAAACCTCATTGGCTACGATAGTGCCACTGCGAAAAGCTAGTTTTATTTTTTTTATTGATTTGTAGGAGTTACAGTTCTGGATATAAGTCCTTTGTCAGATACATGTATTGGGAATATTTCCTCTTAGTCTGTGGCTTGCCTTTGTGTTTCTTTTTAAAAAATTTTTTTTAAATCAGAAGATAGAGACAGAGTCTCCCTGTGTTGCTGAGGCTGGTCTCAAATTCCTGGCCTGAAGCAATCCTCCGGCCTTAGCTTCCCAAAGTGTTGGGAGTACAGGCAAGAGCCACTGCACCCAGTCTCCTCTTTTTTTCCTTACCTGCTTTGATACGCAAAAATTTTTAATGCCGATAAATCCGATTTGTAATTTCTTTTAAGTGCTTTTGAGGGTCTATGAGAGAAATCTTTGCCTACCCCAGTGCTATGAAGATAATGACTGATTTTTTTTTTCTTTTATAAGCCTTTTCTTTTCTCTCTTTTTTTGAGACAGTGTCTGTTGCCCAGGCTGAAGTGCAGTAGCGGAATCCTGGCTTATTGCAACCTCTGCTCACTGCAACCTCTGCCTTCCGAGTTCAAGTGATTCTCCTGCCTCAGCCTCCCAAGTAGCTGGGATTACAGGTGCCTGCCACCACGCCTGGCTAATTTTTGTATTTTTAGTAGAGACAGGGTTTTGCCATGTTGGCCAGGCTGGTCTCAAACTCCTAACCTCAGGTGATCCACCTGCCTCGGCCTCCCAAAGTGCTGGGATGACAGGCGTGAGCCACAGCACCTGACCTTCTTTCTTTCTGATCTTATGGCTTTATGTATTTTTTCTGTCCCCTTGCGGTGGCTCAGGCCTCCAATAAGATGATAACGAGAAGCTGTAGGCAGACACCCTGCTTGTCTCTGGTCTTAGAGGGGAAGGGTTCCATGTCGGCCAGCCCGTGAAGCAGGATGCTGGCTGCAGTTTCCCAGGTTGAGGAAGTTCTCTTCTGCTCCTTGTTTGCTGAGAGTTTTTGTTGGGAATAGGTGTTGAATTTTAACACATGCCTTTTCTGCCTCTATTGAGATAATAGGAATTATGTGGTTTTCTCCTTTATTTTGTCACGGTGGTTATAATGTCATTTTCAAATGACAGCAAATGTTGGGGAAGTCATTGTGATCACAATTGATGCCGTGCTCTTGAAAGGGTGAAAAAAAAAAATCTCCAGCTGAAAAGCATATTCATGAAAACACGTTGCAGTTACTGTAACTACCCGTGACTGTCAGAAGGAGAGAACCTGCTGTGCCGGAGGTAGGAGGGCTGAGGGGGCGGGGTGAGTGCGGCCAGGCCTCCCCCACCCAGTGCTGAGCGCAGGTGGTGGAGGAGCCTCCTGGGCACCAGCTGCAGCTAATGGGGATCAAACCAGCTGTGCACTCTTAGGGTCAACGTCACTTGGTCATGACAGAGAATTTTTTCTATAAACTGCTAGATTTGACTTCCTAATTTTTTTAAAAGAATTTGTGTTTATGAGGAGATCTTAGAAGCTATTTACAGTGAACAGAGGAGGAGCATACACTATCCAGTCTGTCTGAATGAAGCCAGCAAAACCCAAACCAAAAACCATTGATAGAGATATTACAAGGGGCCAGGCAGGGTGGCTCACACCTGTAATCCCACACTCCGGGAGGCTGGGTTTCACTCTGACACCCAGGCTGGAGCGCAGTGGCACGATCTCGGCTCACTGCAACCTCCGCCTCCCGAATTCAAGCAATTTCCCCACCTCAGCCTTCTGAGTAGCTGGACTACATATGTGTACCAACACGCCCTGCTAATTATTGTGTTTTTTTGTAGAGACAGGGTTTTGCCATGTTGCCAATCCTCCTGCCCCAGCCTCCCAGAGTGTGGGATTACAGGCGTGAGCCACTGTGCCTGGCACCTTGTAATATCTCTTATCAGGTTTTGGGTTTGGGTTTTGCTGGCCTCATTCAGACAGACTGGATAGCATCTGCTCTTCCTCTGTTCACTGCAAACAGCTTCTAAGATCAGTACTGTGCTTCCGTTGGCTTTGGTGGAGTCTACCAGGGAATCCCGCTGGGTGTGGTATTTTCCTTGAGGGAAGGGTTCAAGTTAAGTTTTCAGTTGCCCCAACAGATAGAAGGCTGTGTGGCTTCCCCTTTCTTTTGTCAGTTTCCTAATACTGTTTGCATACTTTGCTCCTGATGGCCCTTTTTATCAGGACTTGCTCCTGATGGCCCTTTATGATTCTTCTGTCTGTAGGGGCCAAAATGACATCTCCCCTTCTCCGTCTGACAAAGTGACCAGGCATGGGCCATCTTCCTCCAGCTGGTTCTGTCTCTCCTCAGGGGCGCTGTGGGGCTGGTCTCTTCTGCATCTTGGGGCTCTGAGCTTCACTCCGGAAGGAGTCAGGACCCACCGCGGCAGGAGAGCAGTGGGATGCTGAGGGGTTCTCCACGGGCCTGGGCTGTAAGGTGTAGGGAGCTTGTGGCTGGATCTGGAGACTCAGTGAAGATTAATGGGATTTCTCAGGGCTGCACCAGGGGGAAGGCTGCGAGGTGGCCTCCTTGTAGCGTGCCTGAGAACATCTTTCATGCACAGCGCCACAGGAATGGGAATGGGCTGCCCTGCCTGTCTACTGAGGAGGAGCCCAGCTGCCTCGGTTGGGGTCAGATTCTCCAGTCATGTGTTTACAGCTAAGCTGTCAGCCAGCAGTGGCTGGCCTCTGTCCTCCTCTGATGACAGCCCTGGCTTGCTCTGGTAGTTCACAGTTCTTGTGTGTGGGAGGTGGCCAGCTGTCCCTTAACCTAGAGACAGGCTGGCCCCTCACCACCCCCAAGTTTCCCCACACCTGGTGGCTGTCGGTAGTTGCAGAGCAGACCCTACGTGTGCATCACTGATTTTTCCTGAATTCTCCCTGATTTGCTGAGTGGGGGGTCCTGGGGTCATTCCCAGGCCGCTGCACCCGCTCACATTTCTTGTCTCCTCAGATCTGCCCTCCTTGGTGCTGTGCTTCTGCAGAGGGGTGGCCTTGCTGTTCCCATGGATGTGGCCCAGGTGAGCCCTGCCGCTGCTGAGCACAGCCTCCCCCTGCCCTGCCGGCCGCCTGAGACACCAGCACACGCGGGGAGGGTCTGTGGCCGCGACTTTCCAGGCATGGTGCACGTGTCCCTCTTTTTGCCTTCTCTCTTAAGGGGCGGGGGAAGAGAAAAGAAAATCGGATTCATTATTGACCTTAGGAGAGGAGTGGCTGTTACAGGAAAATGAACTAGATTCTCTCAGGTGCTCTTAGTCCACCAGAGCGGCCCTAACAAAACACCACATGGTGGGCGGTTTACACACGTGTGTGTCGTCTGTCCTCCAGGCTGATGTCGAAGCTCAGGGTGCTGCAGATCCGGTTTCTGGCAGGGGCCAGTGACCAGCTTGCAGACAGCCGCTGTTATGCTGTGTTCACGCGTGTGCAGGGATGGAGCTGGAGTCCTCTGGAGCCTCCTGTGAGGACCAGGCCCATGGGTCAGGGTCCCACCTTCTGACCTCACAACCTTAATCTCTTCCACAGAGGCCCAGCCCCAGACACAGCCACTCGGGTCTCCGGGCTTCAGTGCATGGATTTAGGGGACACAATCTGTTCATATCAGGGCCACCCCCATTCTCCCTTCCCTCCCAGACCCGTGGGCTGAGCCCTCCTTTTCTTGGGAAAGGCCAGTTCAGGAGCTGTGTGTGTTGCAGGAGCAAGTGACCTTCTGGGACGTAGCCGTCTACTTCTCACGGGAGGAGTGGGAGTGTCTGGAACCCAGCCAGAGGGCCCTCTACCGGGACGTGATGCTGGACAACTTCAGCAATGTGGCCGCGCTGGGTGAGCGTGGGCTGAGCGCCGGGTGAGCGTGGGGTGAACGCTGGCCGAGTGCTGGGTGAGCACTGGTTGAGCGTGGGGTGAGCGTGGGGTGAGTGCAGGGCGAGTGCTGGGTGAGTGCTGGGTGGGTGCTGGGTGAGCGCTGGGTGGGCGCTGGGTGGGCGCTGGGTGAGTGCTGGGTGGGTGCTGGGTGAGCGCTGGGTGAGCACTGGGTGAGTGCAGGGCGAGTGCTGGGTGGGTGCAGGCTGGGTGCTGGGTGGGTGCTGGGTGAGTGAAGGGTGAGTGCTGAGTGGGTGCAGGGTGGGTGCTGAGTGGGTGCTGGGTGAGTGCTGGGTGGTGAGTGCTGGGTAAGTTCTGCTGCTGCCTCTGGGCCTGGGTGGTCTGGGATGATAGTCGGGCCTTCCAGCCGAGGGGGCTCAGGAGCTGCAAATTCTTGGGCTTTGTGGACAGAGGGGCCCACTCACCCTGGAGGCAGCCTCATCTTCCTTCCTCAGACCTTGCCAGCCCTTCTGTGGCCTTGGTGTCCAGGCCCCTCCCTTCCTGTCATTTCTGCTTAGGGGTGGCTTCTCCAGGGCCTCCCGGCAGAACTGCTCTGAGCCTGAACCCTCATTTTGTCCTAGTACAAGTAAAATGTAACCTTTTCTCTCTTTTGAGAAGGATTTTGCAGCCCCAGACCAGACCTCCTCTCTCGCCTGGAACAGTGGGAGGAGCCGTGGGTTGAAGACCAGGAGAGACCTGAGCTGCAGGCAGTGCAGAGGGGCCCCCACCCAGGTGAGTGCTGGGCCGTCTGGGCTCAGCTGGCCCCATCCCTGCGGCCCACAGCCCCTGGGTGAGTGCTCAGCACCGTGCAGTGACTGAGGGTGTGTCCCTCCCATGGGAGAGGGCACACACAGCTGCTTTCTAAACTAGACAGGAGAAATGCAGGGGCCGCCATGCTCCTGCCCCCATGGACACTGGCCAGGGCCAGGCCTTGCAGGGTGCGGTGGTGCAGGGAGATGTACGGCCGCAGCTCGGGAGGGGCCTGAAGGCTGCACCTCGCCACCCAGGTGCTGTCCTGTGGAGGCCATTGGTGTGAGTGACTGCCCGGTGATGGTCATGTGGGGTCACAGGCCTGGCACTGGCTGCTCGTGAGGGTCTCCAGGTGTATGGCCCTGGGTAGGAGTTTGCTCCACGTTCCCGGTTTGCAAAACGGGCAGTGGTCAGAGGGGTTT